AGCACCATCATCATGAGGATTGTTTTCTTTTACATGTTAATCCTTTTGGAGAAGATCCTTATATATTTACATATTATATAACATTTGTATCTTGTTTCATATGGCCCAATCTCTAGAATTATTCATAATAAAATTCTTGACCCGGTTCCATCTTTCTTCAATTTCTCGCATTCTATTTTCATTACTTTTTGACTCATTTAATTTGACATTCATAATCTCAAATTAGAATAATAGAATTCTAGAGTTGGAAGAGACCTGGTGGGCCATCTAGTCCAACTTCATTCTGCCAAGAAGCAGGAAAATCGCACTCAAAGCACCCCCGACAGATGGCCATCTAGCTTCTCTTTAGAAGCCTCCATCACACTCCAGGGCAGAGAGTTCCACTTCTGAACAGCTTCTTATGGAAAGGAAGTTCTTCCTAATGATGGTCAAGTGGAATCTCTTTTCTTTCCTGTAGTTTGAAGCCATTGTTCTGCATCCTAGTCTCCAGAGCAGCAGAAAACAAGCTTGCTCCCTCCTCCCTATGAGTTCTCCTCACATCTTGATAATGTCTCCTCTCAGCCTTCTCTTCTGCACTTTAAACATGCTCAACTCTTGAAGCCACTCCTCACAGGGCTTGTTCTCCAGGCCCTTGATCCTTTGAGTCACCCTCCTCTAGACACATTCCAGCTTAGAGTCAACATCTCCCTTCAATTGCAGTGCCCAAAATTGGACACAGTGTGATTCCAGGTGTCAAAGGTCGGTTTTGCCCTGTCTAGTCCACTACTAGCCACTTTAATTGAAAGCAGCATTGTACACATTTCCCAGGCTAGTCAGACTACACAATTGTAGCACTATTATTCCACTTTGTTTGCCACAGTCCCATTCTATGTTATCCTGGGGCTCTGAGGCAAAAACTGCCATTCTCAAGATTCCATAAAATGAAACAATAGAAATTGAAGTGGAATAATACCACTATACTTCTGTAGTCATAGAATCATAGAGTTGGAAGGGACCTCTTGGGCCATCCAGTCCAACACCCTGCCAAGGAAGGAAAATCACATTCAACGCACCCCCAAACAGATGGCCATCCAGCCTCTGTTTAAAGGCCTCCACCACATTCTGGGGCAGAGAGTTCCACCGCTGAATAGCCTTGTATGTTTATATTTAAAATGCTTCTTATTTATTTATTTATTTATCACATTTGCCCGAAGGGGACTCATGTGCAACAATGCAATGCCATAAACACATACAGTTAAAACAGACATTTACATTCAAACAGAAGAATTATAATATTTAAAACATTGTGCCAATTATTAAAACCACCATTATCATAATATGAAGCCATTCCAGTTGTTATTGTACATATTCCATATACATTTATTGCACTACAGTTACTATCCAAAGGCTTGGTTCCATAACCATGTCCTCCCTCCCTCCTGAGGCCAGGAGGGAGGGAGCTGATCCAATATTACTGGGGAGGGAGTTCCACAGTCAAGGGGCCACCACTGAGAAGGCCCTGAGCACCAACCCCATCCACCAGTTGCACCTGCAAAGGAGGTGGGATTAAGAGCAGGGTCTCCCCAGAAGATCTTCATCTCCGAGGTAGTTCATAGAAGGAGATACGTTCAGACAGGTAAGATGGGCCAGAACCAATTAGGGCTTTATTACTTTATTACAAGAGACAGCACTTTGAATTGTGCTCAGTAGCAGACTGGCAGCCAGTGGAGCTGATGTAACAGCGATTGTGTGCTCCCTGGATGCTGCTACAGTGAGGAATCTAGTTGCCACCCATTGGACCACCTGAAGCTTACAAACAGTCTTCAAAGGCAACCCCACGTAGAGCACATTACAGTAGGCTATATGGGTTGTAACAAGAATGTGGACCAGCGGGGTCCATGTATTACTGTTAAAAGCTACTTTGATTCTCAGATTGGGGGAGAAAAGTGTGCTAAAGGTAAGGGTTTCCCCTTGACATTAAGTCTAATTGTGCCCAACACTGGGGGATGGTGCTCATCTCCATTCCTAAGTCCAAGAGCCAGCATTGTCCATAGATGCCTCCAAGGTCATGTGGCCAGCATGACTGCATGGAGCAATTTTACTTTCCCAAAGAAGAGGTACCTATTGATCTTCTCACATTTACATGTGTTTGAACTACTAAGTTGGCAGAAGTTGGGGCTAACAGTGGGAGCTCACCCCCTCCCTGGATTTGAACCACTGACCTTTTGGTCAGCAAGTTCAGCAACTCAGGGATTTAACCCGCTGCACCACTGGGTGCTATACATGAATGAATAATGCATAGATAAACAATGATTTCTCAGCAACAGTTAAGTCTCACCAAATGAGCACAGTCTCTGGCAAAAAATTTTTTTTGTCGTGTCAGGAGCAACTTGAGAAACTGCAAGTTGCTTCTGATGTGAGAGAACTGGCAGTCTGAAAGGACATTGCCCAGGGGACACCTGGATGTTTTATCATCCTTTTGGGAGGCTTCTCTCATGTTCCCGCATGAGGAGCTGGAGCTGATAGAGGGAGCTCACCCGCGCTCCTCCCGGATTCGAACCTGTGACCTGTCAGTCTTCAGTTCTGCCAGCACAGGGGTTTAACCCACTATGCCACTGGGGGCTCCCTCTGGCAAGTGAGCATATGAGTGTGTCTCAAAGCTGAGTGTGACATAACCTTTTTACACTGAATGGAGCCTATATCCCAATTTCACCGGTTGTACATTGTCAGAACAGACACCACCTCCATATATTTGTGGCAATGGAGACCTGAATACCATAAACAAACATTAACCAGTTCCATGTGGATGTCCTGCAAGTTATGAATAAGCAAAATGTTGGCCATGGCTGGTCCATAGGTCACGAAGAGTCGGAACGAATGAACAACAACAACAACAACAACATGGCCATGTTCCAGAAGCATTCCCTCCTGACGTTTCACCTGCATCTATGGCAGACATCCTCAGATGTCTGCCATAGATGTAAGGTCTTTTGTAAAGTCTTTTGGAAATAGGAAAATTGGGTTTATATATCTGTGGAATGTCAAGGGTGGGAGAAAGAACTCTTGTCTGTTTGAGGTAGGTATGAATATTTCAATTGGCCACCTTGATTAGCATTTAATGGCCTAGCAGTTTCAAAGTCTGGCTTCACACTTACCTCAAACAGACAAGAATTCGTTCTCCCACCCTGGACTTTCCATAGATATATAAACCTCATTTTCCTAGTTTCCGACAGATGTCGCAACTTCTGAGGATGTCTGCTATAGAAGCAGGCTAAATGTCAGGAGAGAATGCTTCTGGAACATGGTCATACAGCCCGGAAAACTCACAACAACCCAGTGATTCTGGCCATGAAAGTCTTTGACAATACAAGTAGCATTTTGCTTATTCCTCACTTATAAGACATCCATATGGAACTGGTTTAAGTTTGTTTATAGTATTCAGGTCTCCATTGCCACAAATATGTGGAGGTGTTTTCTGTTCTGACAATGTGCAGCTGGTGAAATTGGGGTTTAGGCTATATTCCGTGTCAAAAGTTTACTTCACACTCAGCTTTAGTCACATTCAACAGACTCTGTCCATTTGGTGGGACTTACTTCTGCTGAGAAATCATTGTTTGTTTATGTATTATTCATTCATGTATAGCCCCTGGCGGCACAGTGGAGTAAACCGCTGAGCTGCTGAACTTGCTAACAGAAACACTGGCAGTTCAAATCCAGGGAGTAGGGTGAGCTCCCGCTTTCAGCCCCAGCTTCTGCCAACCTAGCAGTTCAAAAACATGCATATGTGAGTAGATCAATAGGTACCGCTTCAGCGGGAAGGTAACAGTGCTCCATGCAATCATGCTGGCCACATGTCCTTGGGGGCATCTACAGACAATGGCGGCTCTTTGGCTTAGAAATGAAGATGATTGGTTAGACCACACCTGGAATGTTGTGTCCAATTCTGGGCACCACGATTCAAGAGAGATGTTGACAAGCTGGAATGTGTCCAGAGAGGGCGACTAAAATGATCAAGGGTCTGGAGAACAAGCCCTATGAGGAGCGGCTTAAGGAGCTGGGCATGTTTAGCCTGCAAAGAGAAGGCTGAGAGGAGACATGATAGCCATGTATAAATATGTGAAAGGGTGTCATAAGGAAGAGGGAGCAAGCTTGTTTTCTGCTTCTCTGGAGACTAGGACGCGGAACAATGGCTTCAAACTACAAGAGAGGAGATTCCACCTGAACATGAGGAAGAACTTCCTGACTGTGAGAGCCGTTCAGCAGTGGAACTCTCTGCCCCGGAGTGTGGTGGAGGCTCCTTCTTGGAAGCTTTTAAACAGGGGCTGGATGGCCATCTGTCAGGGGTGATTTGAATGCAATATTCCTGCTTCTTGGCAGGGGGTTGCACTGGATGGCCCATGAGGTCTCTTCCAACTCTTTGATTCTATGATTCTATGAGCACCAACCACCAGAGTCAGACATAACCAGACTTCATGTCAAGGGGAAACTTAGTAGTGTTTTGCTTCTCCATCACTTATAGGACATCCACATGGAACTCACAACAACTCAAAAAACTACTTTGCAAAAGGTTATTTGGAAAGGATAGTTGGAAGAGGGACAGCGAAGTATGCACAGGTTCCTTTGGGGGAACTACAACTCCTAGAATCCCCTTCCCCTCCCCTCAGCAAGCATGCATAAATTAGGTTCTTGTAGGTTTTTTCGGGCTATAGGGCCATGTTCTAGAGGCATTCCTCCTAATGGCCCTATAGCCCGAAGAAACCTACAAGAACCTAGTGATTCCAGCCATGAAAGCCTTCGACAATACATGCATAAATTGACCAGATGTGGTGAGCTGAAGGTTTTTCAAAAGTTCCTTTTCAATCTCTCACCCACCTGCCCTCTGTTTGGATGAGCCAAACCCCCTCTTTTCTTTGCCCAAAGGGCACCCATCCATCACTGCCAGGCTTTGACATCCTGGCTTCTGGTCCACTTTCCCCTTCAACCCACAAAGAAGCGGAGAAGAGCCCAAAACACGCACTCACCATCTCTGCGCAGGTGGGACGCCCGCAAGGCTCGAATAGATCCGCTCGGGGCGGCCGGGTCCCCAAAGTTGGCCAAGGCTCCCAAGTGGAGGAGGAGGAAGGCCAGGCGGTGCATCGGGACGGGGGCTGCTCGGCCCAAAGTCTTTATTGCAGGCAAAGAAGAAGAAGAAGGAGCAGGAGGGGGACGAGGAGGGAAGCCCGCAAGAAGGCCACCTTTCTTCCGCAAGACTGACAGCCGGAGGAGGGCAGGAGAATTTCTCTCCCGGCTTGGCGCGTCCCTCTCCAAACTCTCCAAACTCTGCAAACTCTCCAAGGGGCATGAACTTTGGGCGAAGCGGCTGCAGGGCGCCTGAGGGGAAGGCGAAGGAAGGCGAAGGAGGGAAGCGCCGCCGCTGCTGTGCCAAGGAAAAGGGGGAGGCGAGGAGACAGGTCGCCCTCCTCGGGCCCTTCCTCCGCCCTGGCCCCTGACCCACCCGCCTTGGGAAGAGGAAGGAGGCTCCAAGAGGCTCCACGCTCACTCCGGAATGGGGCTGGATGGGGAACGGGCAGAGAGAGCGAGCGAGCAGGGGAGGGAAGTGGTTTGGCAAGTCGGAAGGAGCTGCAACGCCCCCCGCGCCGCCTTGGAAGGTGCCGGCCGAGCTGCCACATCCCTCGGAGGGAACAGGAGCTGCTGCCCACTCCGCTCTTTTCGACCTTTGGGTTAGGCTGGCAGGGCGTGCCTGAAAGGCTACTGGAGGAAGGAGCTTTTGGAGGAGCAGCAGGGGGAAAAAAGCGGGGGGGGGGGGGGTCATAGAATTATAGAGTTGGGCCATCCAGTCCAACATAGGAGGGTTGAATGAAAAGTAATGCCTCCTCAACAGATGGCAGTACTGGTATGCAGTGGCTCCCAAAGTGACCCGTTTAAGGTGGAATCCGGTGTCAAACAGGGATGTGTTATTGCCCCAACTTTATTCTCCATCTTCATCGCTATGATACTTCACCTTGTTGATGGGAAGCTTCCCACCGGAGTGGAAATCATCTATCAGACAGATGGCAAGCTATTCAACCTCAGCAGACTGAAAGCCAAAACCAAGGTTACAACAACATCTGTTATAGAACTCCAGTATGCTGATGACAATGTCGTCTGTGCGCATTCAGAAGAAGATCTACAAGCCACTCTAAACACCTTCGCAGAAGCATACGAGAAGCTCGGCCTGTCATTGAACATTGAGAAAACCAAGGTGCTGTTCCAGCAGTCACCAGCCATCCCCTCCCCAATGCCAGAGATACAGCTTAATGGTGTAACATTAGAAAATGTTGATCATTTCCGCTACCTTGGCAGCCACCTCTCCACCAAAGTCAACATTGACACCGAAATACAACACCGCCTGAGCTCTGTGAGCACAGCATTTTTCCAAATGAAGCAGAGAGTGTTTGAGGACCGGGACATCCATAGGGATACCAAGGTGCTTGTCTATAAAGCTATTGTCCTCCCAACCCTGCTATATGCCTGTGAGACGTGGACTGTCTACAGACGTCACATGCAACTCCTGGAACAATTCCATCAGCGCTGCCTCCGGAAAATCCTGCAAATCTCTTGGGAAGACAGGCGGACAAACGTCAGCATGCTGGAAGAAGCAAAGACCACCAGCACTGAAGCGATGGTCCTCTGCCACCAACTCCGCTGGACCGGCCACGTTGTCCGGATGCCCGACCACCGTCTCCCAAAGCAGTTGTTCTACTCCGAACTCAAGAACGGAAAACGGAATGTTGGAGGACAGGAAAAGAGATCTAAAGATGGCCTCAAAGCCAACCTTAAAATCTCTGGCATAGACACTGAGAACTGGGAAGCCCTGGCCCTTGAGCGCTCCAGCTGGAGGTCAGCTGTGACGAGCAGTGCTGCAGAATTTGAGGAGGCACGAGTGGAGGGTGAAAGAGAGAAACGTGCCAGGAGGAAGGCGCGTCAAGCCAACCCCGACCGGGACTGCCTTCCACCTGGAAACCAATGCCCTCACTGTGGAAGAAGATGCAGAGCAAGAATAGGGCTCCACAGCCACCTACGAACCCACAAGGAAACGCATAATGGAAGACCATCTTACTCATCCAAGGAGGGATCGCCTAAGTAAGTAAGTAAGTAAGTAAGTAAGGTCGGTTAAGGTCGGTTAATGCGACTTAAGCAACAGGCAGTCATTGAATTCTTGACAGCAGAAGGTGTCACTCCAAAGGAGATTAATCAAAGAATGCAAGCTGTTTATGGTGATTTTGTTAATGTGAGTACTGTGCATCCTTGGATGAGTAAGTTTAAAGATGTTGAGGTGGGAACATCTGACAAAGAGTTGGGATGTCCTGTGACAGCAACCACCGAGTTTCACAAGCAATAGGTTGACAGATTGATTGAGGACAATCGTCATATCACTCAGAGATAAATTTCAAGCATAATCGGCATTTCACAATAATGTGTGGGCCACATTATTGCTTTGCTTGGCTATCGGAAGATCCGTGCACGATGGGTACACAGCACAACTTCAGAGACTGGATATCACTACCATATGGCATCCTCCATACAGTCCAGATTTAGCACCGTCTGACTTCCATCTGTTCCTGATAATGAAAGAAGATCTGCAGAGACATCATCATCATCATTATTAAACTTTATTTATACCCCACCACCTCCCCAAGGGGACTGGGGCGGCTTCTGATGAAGACATTGAGAGAACTGTGAGACACTGGTTGAGGAAACAGTGTCGACTTCTTCCTTGACAGCTTCAGAAAACATGAAATGTATCCAATTGTCTGGTGATTATATGGAAAAGTGAATAGTAGTACCTAAAGAGCACATTCTAAGGATTATTTCTGCGTTTGATTTATTAAAATATTCCCCTCCAAACCCAAGTAACGAACGTGGAGGCATTACTTTTCATTCAATCCTCGTATATACCTTTTAACATAGGCCTGGGAAAACTTTGGCCTCCAGGTGTTTTGGACTTTAAGTCCCATAATTCCTAATATTCGGTAGTGGCCAGCTATCTAAGGAATTGTCTAGTCAAAAGCACAGTGGAACATCCACATCTTTAGATCTTTGTGGAATGTGGACAGGGAGAGAGCTAGCCTAATCTTCTTGGGGAGAGAGTTCCAGAACTGGGGGTGATGACCGAGGAGGCCCTTTCTCTCATCCCCATCAACCGTGCCTGAGACGTGGGTGGAAGCGAGAGAAGAGCCTCCCTGATGATCTTAAAGATTGTGTGGGTTTGTAGAGGAAGATGCAGTTGCATAGATAGCCAGGTCCCTAACCGTTTAGAGGTTTATAAGTGATAATCTACACCTTGAATTGGGACTGGAAACTTATCGGCAGCCAGTGCAGCTGTTTAAAAAGGGTGGTTAACCGGTCCCTGTAATTTGCTCCAGTTAGCAGCCTGGCCGCTGACCTTTGCACCAGCTGCAGTTTCCAGGCCGTTTTCAGAGACAGCCCACATAGAGTACATTACAGTCATCCAACCTTGAGGTAACTAAGGTGTGGACCACCATGGTCAAATCAGACTTCTTGAGGTACGGTCACAGCTGGCACATAAGCTTTAACTGGGTGAAGACCCTCCCAGCCACCCTCAACACCTGAGCATCAAGTGTCATCACTGAATCTAGACGGACCCCCATACTGTGGACCTGTGTCTTAAGGGAGAGTGTAACCCTGTCAAGCACAGGTTGCCACCCTATATCCCAATTAGCCGAGCGACTGACTTGGAGAACCTCTTTGTCAGGATTTAGCTTCAGCTTGTTAGCCCTCATCCAACCCATAACATTTGCCAGGCACTGGTCCAGGACCTGAGGGGCTTCCCTGAAATTAGAATATCTTAGTTCTTGCAGACCACTGGTGGTCCACGGACCACAGGTTGGGAACCACTGTTCCAGATATTTTACTCTATGGATGCAGCCTAGAATTACTTTGGCCTTTTTAGATGCCACATCACACTGCTGACTCATGTTCAGTTTGTGGTCTACTAAGACTTCTAAATCCCTTTCACACCTGCATGTTTGTCCCCAAAAACCATATACACCTTTTAACAGCTAAGTGCACCTATGGCAATGATTTGAGGGCCAAAGGAATACACTGGTGTTGAAGAAGAAATGTCCTCATAATGATTTAATCAAAGTTATGAGTTCTTTCTTAAATCACAGTTCTCTTGAAGGTGTTCCAATTATCATTCCTCCACAGCAAAATTTACATCGTCAAAGCACAGATTTTCAAAACTTCTTTCCGAGTTTTTCTTGGAATTTCGCCACCCTTCTCTACTATTGGAATAATCTTTAATCCCGTTAAGGTGATACTGGTATATGGGTGCACCTACACTGGAGCACTAATACAGTTTGACACCATTTTGACTGTCTTGGCTCAGTCCCATGGAATCACGGGAGTTGTAATTTTATAAGGGCTTTAGCATTCTCTGCCAAAAAGTGTGGGTGACCTTGGGCAAGTCACATTTTCTTAGCCTTTAAGAAAAGCAAAGGCAAACTTTCTCTCTCACACACACACCCTCACCTATGAACAAATGTTGTCAATCAAACCCTATGATAGGGTTGTCTTAGCACCACCATAATTTGGAAAGGCAGTACAAAAAATGAGTTCCCAAGGTAACTTTCCCAGGTGCTATCCCGGGTGTTTTATCCTTCTATAAATTGCAGGATTCCATAGCATTCTGCTGTGGCAGTTCAAGTGATATCAAATTGCATTGATTCTACATTGTGCCCAACTTTGCACTTTGAATGACATCTCCTATTTGATTTAACCATTGTTTTGTCTAGTTGTTGAGATGCTTCCTAGGTTGCAGTGCAAAACAACAACCACCACAAGCACTTTTCTGGCTTTTTAGACCCTGTCTTTCCAATCCCAACTCTGCTCCTTCTGATCCTCTCCAAGGCCTCCCTTGACTCTGTCCCAAAGAGTCTCCGCTTTCGCCCTTGCCTTTCCTCCCAAGGGAACTGTCTGACGCCGGCACACTTTCCTTCCGAAAGGGAAAATGTCACACACATATTGTGCACATTATTGTGTGCAGCATAATAATATCATTTAGTATCTCTCATCTGAAATGCATGAGAACAGAACTGTTTGGGATTTCTGGTTTCTTCAGATTTTAACATGCCTTTATTTGAATAAAAGTTTGTGTATGTGTGTGTCAGGAGTGACTTGGGAAACTGCAAGTTGCTTCTGGTGTGAGAGAATTGGCTGTCTGCAAGGACACCTGGATGTTTGATGCTTTACCATCCTTGTGGGAAGCTTATCTTATGTCCCCACATGGGGAGCTGGAGCTGACAGAGGGAGTTCAACCCTCTCTCCATGAATTCAAACCACTGACCTTTTGTTCAGCAGTCCTGCTGGCACAAGCGTTTAACCCATTGCACCACCGGGAGCTTGAATAAAGGTATCCATTGCCAAATGGGGATTTGATCCCTGGTCTCTAGAGTCATAGTCAAGCCACTAAACCACAGCTCTCTACTTGGAGGACTACATCACCCATAATAGGCATCACAGCTTTTGAAACTTAATTTTGGGACAGTTAACGCAACATGGATGACGTTTTGGGACTTCATCACCCATAGTCCCTCAACTCTCAAAAATGTAGCTATTCCAAGCTCTGAAAATTCCTACTATAAATAGTAGAACTCACCTTTCCTCACAAAAACAAACATAAAAGTTGATGGGACACTGTCTATTGAAGCTGCC